GGGGTGTGGGGGGTGGAGGGTGGAAGGGGGTGGAGTTGCTGTTTTTTTCTTCGAACACGGTGAAGACTTTAGCTTGGAACTTGCATTTGTGGAGCTCCCAGCCGGCAGGAATCAGCTCTCCCTCCTGTGGGAGAGCCCCCCGGGGGAACAGGCTGCATTGCTCTGCTGCCCTGCACTTCGGGGTGTCAGCTTTGGGGCAGCGGCGAGGGCAGGAGGCATGGGGTGTTCTTTGGCTGCTTTCCTCTCCCCCATGTCCCCTTCGCCTTTTCTCTCTCTCTCTTTCTGCTTGTTCGGGGGCTTGTGCTAACGCCGCCTGTGCCAGGAGGGATCCGGGACCGAGCCATCCCTTGGCTGCACAAATTGGCTTCCCACCTGCTTGCTGCCTCGGGGAAGCTTGCCCTCCATCCGAGGTGTTGTGAGAAGAAAGGCAAGAGGTGGCTCGGAGCCCGCCAGCCCACGACTCTGAGTCCTGGCATGTGAGGGGTGGGCAGGGTGACAGCAAACTTTCCTCTTGCCTTCCCTGGAGATTTGGGATCACGCACAAACCATGAATGGATCGTTTTTCAACCAGACTCTCCTAGAGCAGGGAGCTTACCCCAACAGGACCCAGGGTTTGGGGATGCTCATGGCCTGCTGCAACGGGACCGGCGCAGTGCTGGCGACCGAAAGCTCCTCGGTCCTGGCACCTGATGAGAGGAGCCTTTACATCACACGGGTGGTGCAGATCGCTGTCCTCTGTGTCCTCTCCTTGACTGTGATGTTTGGCATCTTCTTTTTGGGCTGCAACTTGCTTATCAAGTCCGAGAGCATGATTAACTTTTTGGTGAAGGACCGAAGACCTTCCAAGGATGTGGGAGCTGCAATCATGGGACTTTACTGAAGCCACCGGGCTTTTGTAGGCAAGTGAACTGTCTGGATCTGGTCCTGAGATGCAGATTCCCATGTGTTTGGGGCAGCTGGGGGGGAGTGGAAAGGGAGGAGGGTTCTTTTAATGTGTCTATGTCAATGGGAAAGCAAACCTGCACTTCCCAGTCAACAAACTGTCATTGTGAATGGGGAGATCTCCCCAGAGTTGTATGAAGCACAATAAATGACCAGCATCATGTTGCATGTAGAAATGGCTTAAGTTTTGCATGAAACTTGCAGAAATAGTGATAATGTGCAGACCTGGACTCTATTCTGCTGTTACCTTGGATACTGCTACCTGGGATTTAGGGCTAAACAAAAAAAAAACAAAAAAAAAACAAAAAAGGAAAAAAAAGAAAAAAAGGCAAATAACTCACTAAAAAAAAGAAAACAAAAACTCAACAAAATAAAGGGAAAACAAAATGCGTGGCACGGACCACATCTTTGACCATGGGGCAGGGGAAGGGAAGTGCCATGTGGGTCGTACAACCAAGTCTGCATGCTACAAAATGTATCAGTCTGTTTGTATTTCAGACCTCAAGCATGCATCTTCTGGTAGAGTTTTGTAATGGGTAAAGCATGTTCTTCCTTATATTTCTGACCTATCTTGTTAAATAAAATGGTACTTTCTTCTTTCACACTATGCTGAAGGAAGAAAAGAACCCAGATAAATACAAAACCCCACTCCAACCCCAAAACTAAAGCATGCTTCTTTTTGTACACAACAGCCTTTTTCCCAAATGCTATATTGTTACAGTCCTTGAGGTTTTTGTAGTTTTTTGAAAACTGGTGAACATTCAGGAAAAAAAGAACCTGTTTCAAAAGAATTTGGTGTTGTCTTCATTTTCTTTCTCTATGCGTGCCGAGTTCAGGTATTTCCATCCTAGTTCCAGATATAATCATCTCACCTTCCAATTGAACTCTAATTAAAGATAGTTATTTAAAGCAGAAACTACCATACATTTTTCACAGGCAAGTATCAGTTATCAATAGCAAATAAATTTGTCACGAACTATGTATTTTGAGCTTACGTTAAATATCTGCACAGTACTGAAGTAGAGATTCATAAAGATGCACTGAGTGCCTCTTGCAAAGCCAGATTTCAGCCTCCAAGTTAAAATCTCCAGCTCCTCTGATCCTGATGAGCTGTCAAAACTAAATTATGTGAGAGGAGGAGGACTCCTGACCTTTGCTCTTTGATGGAATTACAGCTCTGTCTGTGGGTGTGAGATGGAAATAATTTGAGTTTTGTTGTACCAACAATATTCCTGCTGGGTCCACTTCTGTAGTGGGAAAGAAATCCTGGCTGCTTGAAGGACCTGATGAGCTGATCTCCTTGGATGTAAATCCTGAAGAACAGCTCTCTGCTTTTCCCAGAAAGAGGAACAAGATTAGAGTACATTTGGTAATTAATCAATATTTTCTGAGCAGCTTCTTCAAGGTTCCCACAGGGTATTGGTGGACTAAACCCAATGCAGAGCAGGACTAGTGCAGCGTTGTCACTGGTTGCTCCCACTAACCTGTTGTCTGTAATGCCTTAGGAGCACAAAGACAATGTGGCAGCAGGACCAGAATTTGGGATTCAAAACTCTGAAACATCCCATTTGTGTCAGTGAAATGGCTGAACAGGCAGGGCTCTGAATTCTATGAGCAGCTTGTAGCTCTGCATACCTGAGCAGCGTTCTCAGCACAGAGGGCTTGCTGCCCTGCTGGCAGATGTAAAAGTGGCTTCACACAGCAGCGTGGATGGGGATTTTGGTCCCTGTTGCTGAAGGGGGGGGCGGGGGGTGGTGGTGCCACGGCCATTGATGTCTTTGCGTATGAGTGCAAACTGCTCCACTGTGGGAGCACAGCCTGGTCACAACAGCAGGGTGAGATGTAAATAACCCCAATGCATACGATGACCTCTGCTCTGCAAACACTTCGGACCGTACTTGCATGTATAACCTAAATGTGTAACTGCACCTTCATGTCGCTGAGCTATCAGACGACAGCCCAAATGTACTCATTAAACTCTCATCCAGCTTCTGCTTTAAGCTAGCATTTGGTCCTTCTTGCCAATCCATCCACCAGCTGGGACACCAGTGCAAGGGACTATTCAGAGATGATGGAAGAAACCCTCCAGTCTTTGTAACACAAGCAAGGCACAGGAAAAGTTGCTAATCCAAAGAAAGCACCGCAATCACCTTGACTCTGACCTGCAGCAATGTCCTCAGTGAAGGAGCTGGCAAAATTATCTATATCCCAGCTGTCCCTACCTGCCTTGATCTACCAGGGGCCATGAGAGCTGGTGCGTGTGTTGGGGGGGGGTGGGGGGTGGTCCTGCTGCCCAGTGGGGAAACATGGCTCTGAAATCCTCCACAGCCACTAACTTGCCAGATGTCCTTATCAGCCACATGCAGGAGTGGGGCATGGAGTTCTTCATCCCTTTTGTGCTGTGAAGTCTTCCAGAGCAAAGGAGAAATGTCAGCCACAGTAGGGTCATGTATACATGGGGTGGAGGAGCAATGTAATGCCCCAGAAAGCAGAGCTGGGCACCTGCTGAGGCAGATGGAGCTTCCTCAGGAGTCAATTAGGAGAGGGAAGACTTTCCACGAGGCCCTTTGGGACAAAAGCCCAACTTTACATTGGCTTGTTCATCCTCTGGTCGTTCCGTGTCTCTTCCCTGACCAGAAGGACTATGTCTACATTACTAGGTCACGTGGACCAACAGAAGAGGGTCTGCAGAGCGAAGCCGTTGGTGAGCACATTTGCCAAACCACATCATGTCTCCCCATGGGGTTACTGGGCTTCTGCAGTGGGTTCAAGGCACTTACGCACAGTTCCCCATCCCATTAGATTCCCAATAAAAGGCTGATTGCCCCATTGAGAGGAGGAATTATTTGGGGAAAAGGACATCTCTGGACGATTGATGCCAGCACTGGGACAGTAAGGGGAGACCAGAAGGAAGGCAATGGAGGGCTGGCATGGTGAAGGAACCCCTTGAGTTAGAGATTTGGGGTCTAAAGACCCTCTTGAGGTAAAGTCATGGTTGCTGTTTTAACTGCTTTGATTCCTGCCCCATCCTTTTCCCACAGAGCAGATGCCACTGTGAGCCATGTCTGGTTGAAGGAAAGGTGCCGAGGGCACCATGCCACTACCTGGATCGCAGGGGAAAGGGCTGCCATCTCTGGACGGCTGAAAACCCAGCTGCCCTGTCCCAGAGGCATGAGTCCTGCAGCCAGAGGATGAGGTGGTTACTCCAGGGCTTGCGTAAGCAAAGCAGACCATAATGGCTTTTTCTGCTGCCTTTCCCCACAAATAGCTGTGTTTTTTCACCTCACGCTTACTCATTTAGCTTAAACTCATAAATGGGTACTAGCTCCCAAGAAAATTTAAACAGTTTTTCTTTTCATGAAGATGGTTTAATGTTATTTTGCCTTTTGGGTTTTGGTTGTTTTTTTTTTTTTTTTCTTGTTACTTGTAGCACATTAGCTTCCAGAATGTCACTGGGGTGCCAGGAGCTGTACGAGTATGACTGAGAGACACTGCTGGCTATAAAGTATGGCAGAGAGACAGGGAGAGAAGGGACTGACTTAGGTGGATCATCACATCAGTGGCAGAGTGAGGACCAGACATTGAGTCTCATTTAAAATCATCTCCTAGCAGTGGAACACAAGATACTCATGCAATCCTGCGGGACTGGCCACTGGTCCATCTAGTCTGCATTCCTTCTCTGAAAACAATCATGATTTTAGGCAGTACATGGTCAGTCAAGTTATCCTACTAATGGGAAACTGCTTCTTGATTCCCACCAAGAGCAACCTGCACCGGACCTTCACAATCCTCCTTCAGGAACGGCTGTCTCCGGGCTGGTCCCCACTTGCCGCGGCTCCATTCCAGCTAGAATTTCTTCTTTCTAGACAGGGAGCAGGGAAACAGCAGAGAAAAGCAAGTGTGAGAGCATGTCCCCCCTGCTGAGGAGCCTGTCTGCAAAGAGAAATCTTCTACCTCTGTAATCACTGACTTTGCAATTGGAGAAATAAAGAGGTGGCTTGACCCACCTGAGAAAAACCAGCAACCCTGGTCATATGGTCCTACCTGCAGTGGGGAAAAACCCAAACCAAGTACCAGATGATACCCACCTCCTTCTCCCCGCCCTGGCAGTCTTGGCTGAGTACAATGAAAGAGTTAAACAGGATGAGACAGACAAACAGATTAGGGAGGAGGGAGGATCCCAACCTGAGCTGGGCACCAGATGTACTGGAGTGCGTGCACCAAACACACACAGTATTTAATAATTCCTGAGAATTGCCATGGTAATGAAGTGCAGAGTCAGGTTGTTATGGTAACAGCCTTTTTTTTTAGGCAGGGAGGCATTACCCAGGTTGTAACCTCAATCCAGACTGAACACATTTCTGAGAGCCCAAAAAATAAAAAAGTAAAATAAAATAAAATTAGATAAGTAACGGTTTCTTGTCTGGCAGTTCTGGGCTTGTTCTGTAGGTAGGTGGAGTGAGCCAGGTTCTTCCAGACACACGTTGTCCTGGAAAGCCTGGGGAATGGCTGGAGTGGATCTCTGCAGGTCTGAAACCGAGTGCTGATGGGGGTGAGGGGCTGGACCCCTCTCATGGGTGGGTCTGGGATGCTCTGCCACCACCTGGTTTCCCTGCCAGACCTCTGGCCTGGCTTCAGGCACATCCCCAGCTGGCTAACGAGAAGGACACATGCGTCTCTCCAAGTGTATATGCACAGGAGAGCAGTCATTGACAAGCCAAACCTACAGAAGGATGCTGTGCTGATCCTAGTTCGCAGCCTGAATCCCAAATGATGAAGGTCCCAAAGCTGGTCTCCAAGATGAGACAGACAGCTTGGTGGCTGGAAAAGGAGGTAACAGACCAGTTTTCCTAAAGCCACATGACAGACCTAAGGAGAAAACACAGGTTTCCTGAGCTCTGGCAAGGTCTCCAGGCTGCTGTGCTCCCCAAAGGGTCA